TAGCTAGACGATCGTATACGATTGATGCAAAGTCCTTGCAGTCCTTGAGGACTATTACGAAGTGGTTGATTACTTTTAGGGCATTCATTCAAGCAACATCAAACAAACGCGATCCGATCCTTGAAAAATGGAAAAAAATTCAAGCATAACGACAGAACAGCAAACCAATCGAAACGAGTAAAAGCTTCCTTACCTCAGTCATCGTCCTGCCATGTAGTTGGACAGCCTTTTGACACGGTGGTACAGGCAGCTTTGTCCAGTCAAACAGGGTATCCTTGTGGCGTCGAACGAAAGAGAGTGTCAGTGTATCTGACTCGTCAGATTGGAACTGTGCTGAACTTTTCTCGTTCTCCGCTTTCTGCTTTCATCCCTCGCTCTGATGAAACCGTTCAAACGCCTTACTGGCAGCAATGGCCAGCCAAAAAGGGGATCCTTGTGGCGTCGAACGAAAGAGAGTGTCAGTGTACCTGACTCGTCAGATTTGAACTGTGCTGAACTTTTCTCGTTCTGCAACTTCTGCTTTCATCCCGCGCACTGATGAAACGTCTTCAGAGAACCACAAGACGCTTTCCAGATTTGATTTTGAACGTCTCCTTATCCTCCTTGGTTACCTCGAGACAGATTACTGCCAGCAACTGCACAGCAGAACTGGCAGCCATGGCTGAAGTGAAGAAAGGAATGCGCTGCCACGAGGCAAACAAAACTGAAAAGGTGTTTGTTCTCTTCAATTTCGGACACAACACACAGGACGGCGTGACTGGATAAACTGGACTCCTGGACCGTGAATAGGGGACTTGTAGAAAAAAGTGTACTCCTTATAGGGGATTGCGCGGCAGGATGAAGCTGATCAAAACTGAGTGGACTCCTGGACTCTGTATAGTGGATTTTGGACCAATGGACTCTATATAGGGTGCTGGACATCATATAGTGCATGGACTCTATACTGAGTCCTACATATACGTGGTGTACAGTGCTGACAGGGCGGTGGGTGAAAGACGTCCACGAATCCGTCTAAAGAGGTAGAGTTTTTTTACTTTAGTTTGCACTGGACAAATTCAATGATCTTGGGCATCCTGGAAAGGCCTTGACGAGAGGAGCATAATGAGCCTACACTTGACTCCATGGGATCCACTGGCCCAGAGCTGCAAGCCAGGGAAGGCCCACTTGCACTGGGCTCATGCGCGAGATCAATTTCTATCTACCCGATTTCACTCCTGTTCATATCAAACTCAAAATTATTCGTCGAGACTCCCGGGAACCGACTGTTGAAGTTGAATCGGTGTAGCCTTGTCAATCGGCAGGGGCGGGTAATGCTACCACTATGGCTGGCATTATAGTCCCTTTTTTCCAGGTGGCATAGTGCTGGCATTATAACACCATTTCGCATGCAAAATTGGCATTACAAGCATAATGGCATGTCGACAACGGTGTCATGCATGAAGCTGGATAGGTCCAGTTCCAAAAATTGTGCATCTGAACCCGTCCGACTTCGTCCGGAGACTTGACGTTGCAAATCAACCTTCTCAGTGGATTGTTTCAGACAACATGCTCACTGCTGTTTAAGTTTTTTCTTCTACACTTGACGAAGTTATGATAACTTCAAAATGCCAACCCCATCGAACATCGGTGTTCGATCAATGTATAGACCAGCCACTAAAGGGTTAAAGGGGAAGTATACCCTAAAATCAAATTTTCACCAGTTGTAGTCTTCGGGGTGCTGAGTCGAATGGTCTTGGTCCGAGGAAGCTGCGACGCTCCCTTCCTACTTGAATCCCAATCGAACTCGCGCACTTCCACCGAAACTGGGTGACTGCGCCCTACTAGATGGGGATTTGTATGCAAAATCTCACTAAAAGCGCCATTTCGTTCTTATAAAAGCACGGATGACCGCGATTGGCCCATATGTTGTAGTCTTTTGGACGCTGAGTCGACTGGTTTTGGTCCGAAAAGGCTGCGATGCAGCGTTCCTCCTTTATTCCCAATCGAACATGGTTGAACACGCGGTCACGTGCTCCTGGGTGCCCAAATCACCTGGTCACCGCGCCAGCAGGCGACAACTTTCACACCAAGGTTCAACTCGAGTTCAACTCGAGTGACAGGAGTGCACCCAAAAAAGGTCAAACAGGCTAGTAAGTTGTACCCTGCAGGCACGGTGACCAGGTGACTGGTGTACGCAGGAGCACGTGACCGCTTCTTCAACCATGTTCGATTGGGAATAAAGGAGGAACGCTACATCGCAGCCTTTTCGGACCAAAACCAGTCGACTCAGCGTCCAAAAGACTACAACATATGGGCCAATCGCGGTCATCCGTGCTTTTATAAGAACGAAATGGCGCTTTTAGTGAGATTTTGCATACAAATCCCCATCTAGTAGGGCGCAGTCACCCAGTTTCGGTGGAAGTGCGTGAGTTCGATTGGGATTCAAGTAGGAAGGGAGCGTCTCAGCTTCCTCGGACCAAGACCATTCGACTCAGCACCCCGAAGACTACAACTGGTGAAAATTTGATTTTAGGGTATACTTCCCCTTTAATGTAAAATAGAAGGAAAAAACACATGGAAACGAGTGATGAAGCCGCTATTCACGACTGTAACAAGATAATAAGCGGTCAGAAAACTTCACAGTTCGCGGGGGATTCGGCTGTAATAAATAAGTAAAGAGAACAAAATTGAAGAGGAAGGAAGGATGAAAAGGGCAGTAAAGAAAAAGATGACATACCTGAACTGCATGACTGTTGACAAAGACAAGACGAGATTGACCTAGACAAGACAAGGATTAGTGACACAAAAGACGAGCAGCGGTTTAGGATGACTGAGACAATGAGGACTGGGACAGGGTCGTGTGTTGAGCGAAAAGTCTGGCGCCAATATTGAGCAAGATAAGGAGTCATCATCCTAGACACAAAGGAACAAGTTGGAACAGGTTGTTGTTGTTGACTTTTATTTTACTTCACCAATTGCACAGGCATGATTGCCTTTTCACCGGCCCATAGGTCCGGTTCTCACAGAAAGATGAAGGAAATTATGTGAGGAAATGTATGGAAATAAAGACATGCAAGTGGTGTAGTTATTATAGAAAATGTTTGTTATGTGTGTATGCTGACACTTAATTTGTGTGAATTATTTTAATTGTGATAACAAATCATATGTATGAAGATTGTTCAAAGTATTATGTAGTGAAAGCATTTCATGAAAGAATATGTGTGAACATTGGCAGACTTTGTTGGATGGGCACTATTTTTAGCAATCCATTATACTCGAATGACCAGCAGGCCCGCGAAGGACAGGTGCTACATTTAGAACTGGGAAGACAAGGTTTGGGTACCTAACATAATCCAACACACCACACCACCACATTGCGCTCTTGGCCGATCCAAACTCTGCACTCACATCACCATCACCACAGCGCGGACAATTCCGAAGTGTCCTCGCTGTGGTGATGGTGATGTGAGTGCAGAGTTTGGATCGGCCAAGAGCGCAACGCGGTGGTGCGGTGTATTGGATTCCATAATGGCCGGTCGTCGCTACTTCTTCTCTACCTAACAGAATGATAGAGAAAAGTGCCCATGAAAATAACACATAGCTCAACTGGTACACACAAAGGAAGTCAACTGTTTGGCCGTGTTCAGGCATTGGAAAGCATAGCGTTGAGCCACAGGAAGCGAACGGCTGGATGGTAGTCTGGGACTGTGTGGCAGAGGCTTGGACATCCTAGAAGACTGCAGGAAAAAACACACACAAAAGACGGCAGAGTGGGGTCGGCTGTTTGTTTTGCAGGGCAACACACACGAGAGCCGGAACGACGCAATCATACCTCATACATGGGGAAAGCAAAGGAGGATGATGTATGGGAATCAGGCTGAAGCGGGTGGGTTTGATAGCAACGACCCAACCAGCGAAGATTTCTCAGGAAATATGACTCACGGGTAACGGCCCTTGAACACCATGTACATGTAAAGTGCAACCAACTTGAGCAACAACACCTCCGTTCATTGGTGCAACAGTACCTCCTTTTATTGGTGCAAGGTGTATCCAGCTGAGAAAATGGAACCGCTTCGGCAATCCATTTCTTTCTCACTCCTACGGATACTGGAGAGCGGTGGAAACTAGAAACTCATGAAACATTGAACGATTCCCGGGTAGGAACGACTATATTTGCCACAGCAGACTACGCAACTTGTAGGCCAGCGTGTTGACATCACTTTTATGTTTAAATCTTTTATTCTCACGATGGCCTGTGGCCAATAAGAGAAAAATAATTAAGTTCAGTGGAATGTTGTCAACCAAGCAGAGGAAAGCCTGAAAGAGCTGAAAATTGACTTGAGAGAGAAAGGCGACGACTCGAGTGCCACAGACGACGACAGCAACTCAGAGTAAAGATGGCTCAGGCAAAAGCGATGAAAAACAAACTCGCTGTTCATGCCGCTACCAGTTCTTCTTGTATCCTGCACATAGACTGAACTACCTTCGTCCTAGGAAGTACACGTCAGTTCAGGGTGCATGAGCAAATTGTGGACTTAGTTCATACCTGTTCCGATTTAGTAGAATGGGGGCTTCACTTCAAAACTCAAGTATATTTACAAATGAGCACTAGAACTAAAAAAAAACCAAGAGACGATACATCGATGGTGTATACCAGAAACAACAGTGGTCCCAGGACCGAGCCCTGAGGAACTGCTGCCGGGATGGGAAGGATGGCTGACATAGTGCTCCCAACTCGTACTCGCTGCCTGCGCCCAGTCAAGTATGTCGAGAACTATCGCAGGTTGGCAGCACTGTGGATGCTTACATGTAATGCTGTTTGATAGAAACTGGGTACTATTGGTGGGTGAAGGATCCTGACAAAATATGATATTTTGTCAGGATCTTACAGGACATTATCTGCTTTGCTCTCATTTGGGCAAAGCTCTATTTAGTATGGGCCACACAGACAATTTCCATATACTTCTACTCCACTCATGACAATGTCTTGTTGTTCTGAACGCTTGTTATTGTAACTACAGTTGTGGAACGATACTGTGGCGACCCGGGAACTCCAAGCAATGGTTCTCGCACACTTAGCCAAAAACTCCATGGTAGAGTCACGTACACGTGCAATGTTGGTTACGGCTTGGAAGGGTCGATGACTCGAGACTGCTTATACAACAAAACCTGGTCTTTTCTTCAACCTGTCTGCCACCGTAAGTGAAATTTCTGGAGCCCGCGGGGTGCGGTTGGGGTGTGTGCGCTTGTGAGTGGGTGGCGGGATCCCTTCACTAATTGTAACATCTAACAGAATGCCCGAATACAAAGCTTCTCTAGCAGCAAGTCTATATAAGCGACATTAATAATAATGTAATGTTTGCGGGATCCACGTTTGCATCACTTGAATGTTCAGAAACACACACTCTGTAGCCTCGCCTCCGCAGGCCACCACTATGCCTTTTCAGCTTAGTGGCGTATGCCGACCTCCCAAGTGAGTCAGGGGAGAGGAGGTGAGTCTCTCAACCAATCGGGCGTTTAACGGCCCATGACCCTGTTTTGTATTTGTATTTATGGATTCTCCACAGGCCTTAGCCTTAATCGAGGGAGTCTCCGTCAGCAGCTTATGAAGAAGAAACTGAGGAGAAAAAATAAAAATAGGAAATAGAATGATGGGGGGTGGTAGTATTATAACACAGACTTGACCGCATTGACTGCATTGACCGCACGGGACCAAAGTTACAATTTACAAGCTGGCCTGCCTTAGCAAAGATTACGGTTGACTTGGTGAATGGCCAGTCTGCAATGATTGACAAAATGAGAGGGTAAAGGGCAAGCTAGTCACTAAATATGTGATCCTGAAAAGGGACTAGAAAACGGTGAAACAGCAAATTCATGCTTTCCGATGAACAATCCCGGCAGTTTCGACAGAATAGAACCTTTGAGAGAGACCGGAAACAAGTCTCCGACGAACTTCAAGGAGACAGCACTACACCTGCCAAACCATCAGATGGTACCTCAGTAGACTGACAAGAAGCTGTATCCTCCTGGCAAAGCATATAGTCCTCACCCGTGACCTATAATCAACAAGCGGAGTGGGCCGAGAAGAGTGCGCCGGGAAGCTCGAGGACTAGATAAGGTGCGCATTTTCATCACGGATATGCACGAGTATTTAGCTGGTAGCTGGTTAGCAAGCTGAATGATGGCATGGCCTAATAGGATTAGTCACATACCAAAGCTCATACCCTGTATCTAACACAGAAATGCCACCTCCAGCATTTGTACATAGATGTAGTGTACCACATTTTTTACCCATTTTAAGTGGTATGATTGATCTAGAATTTCTTGAGACTGGACATCACTAGCTGTGGATCGATTTGGAGGAAAAAAAATCTTTTTGGTAATTTCGCAAATGTGATGGATTTTGCTGATCCAGGCTCATGTTTGTTGTTACACTGTTATCAATCTGTTTTCCTTCAGCTGCATGTGTCCTACCAACCGTTCAAAATAGCAAGAGTGTTGTGGCTTTAAACCCTACATCTGATGGAAAGACTGCAAAATTTGTGTTGACCTGTAAAGCTGGGTATTACAATTTTGAGGAGCTCCCGGCCTGTTCAGCTGCTGGAGGAAGCTTTGACTTCATTCCTACATGTGAACGTAAGTGAACTCTATCGGTGACACTAAGTGAGCCAGGGGTACCGGATCAATGCAATGACCCATTTTGTTGCCAAAGAGTGAATTTTTGAATTCTATCACACACAATGCAATCACAAACAAACAGATCATCACGCTATTCCTTTGCCTCAGGCAAAGGAATAGCGTGCTATTTGTTTGTGATTGCATTGTGTGTGATAGAATTCAAAAATTCACTCTTTGGCAACAAAATGGGTCATTGCATTGATCCGGTACACACATGCCCTAACCATTTCAGGGTCACGACACTCATATTAACATCTGGGCACTGTGATTCCAAATAAAAACAATTATGAAGATAACACACAAATTGTCACAACATTTTTATATCTCAAAGATTTTTCACAATTTACTTTTCACTGGAAAGTTCTTTTCTCGCTCATCATCTAACACTTGTTTACATAGCATACAACAGCCCAAGGATGCCCCTTGCTTCGCCAACAGTGTCTCATTCGTGCTCCAGTTGGCCATTAATTAACACCATGCCCAACAATTTCTTTCGGTTTGGAGCTCAAAATCAACGTGGACGAACGATTCAAATTGCAATGAACTCGTGCGTTTCTACCAACTCAAGTGATGTACTGAATCACCATTAAATTCTTGCGTTTGACACATCAATGAGAAATCCCCTTGAAAGTCGAAAAACAATCGCCATGTGGAAACAAAGAGACAAGACATTCAGATCTCAATCACGCATTGAATTTATCCCCTATGGATCAATTATTGAGCCACCACGTCCAAAACACCTCTGGAAACCCCTTTCCAAGAACGTTCAAATCAGCCATTGATAATGACAATGCACTTTCCTGTTCCCGAGTTATGAGTGTTTTGCACATTGATCTCTCCAGTGCGTACAGTACGCACATCTTACACAGAGAATAGTGCAAGTATGCTCGTCATTGCCAAAATGCCATGGGGTCTGCATGAGTAAACCACACATATAATTATACACGTACTTGAATCCATTTTCAGCTAAGCTCATTATTATTACTTGATTTGGGGTTATGCCCGAGCTCTGATCTCGTTCTATTACATTACATGCCCAGCAATAGAGGACATCTGGGAATTGTAATCTTTATTCTCCTCCGAGGTGCGACGTTTGGCCTGGACCAAGCACAAGGAGAGGCCTTCTCCAAAAATTCTGAAGAAGTGGTCGTTGTTTGATCCTTTGATATGTTTTTTTGGTATTCTATTTTATTAATTTACTTGGGCATTCCCAACAGACCCAAAGGTCTTCCTACATGGTGCCCAAGATGAATGAACGTGTTAAAGGGAAAGTCCCACATCGTCAATCCCAGATATGATTGATGGTCAGTTTGATGGAATCTACCGCCATTTTGCTTAGACACACATTGCCTTGCCCGGGTGCAGGCTGCCAGGGTGGAAAAATGCCAGGCTCGAGGACTATAGATTGAGATTTTTAAACTCCCTAGAAAAGAAAAAGAACCAAGGAACTACAAGTTATACAATATTGTGTGCACTATCACCACCAGCTACTAAACAAATAGCTCATGTGCTAATATTGCATATTGGATGCACACTACAACAGCCTTCCAAATTGGATGTTCTAAGCTATATGATGACTTAAGAGGGGAATCCGAGTCCATTCTTGCACACCTGATGAGCCGTCTTTATCTGTACGGCGAAACGATCACCGTGTGAAGCTGCTGCTTGTTACCGCTGCTTATTGTCCATCTAAATTGTCATAGTTGAAGGTGCAATGCTATTTTACCAAGTTCGGTTTGCATAATTCTTGTTCGCCTCGCTTCCACTTTTATTGATCTTGGCGTCTTTGAGCAACACAAATTGTGTGGAATGTTGCTTTACCTCCTTGATGCATGATTATTTTGACCGCAAAATAATGGCCTTGCCAGTATCGTCATCGACACTCGTGAACATCCGCAAAAGTCCTCCACAGCTAAGACTTTCAGCTCGTACTTGTCTTGGTTGCGCTCACCTTCCCCTCTTATTTTAGGAGTATAGTGCGGTGGGGGAGTAGGATAGTGCGGTGGGGGAGTAGTATAGTGCGGTGGGGAGTAGTATAGTGCTGTGAGGAGTAGTATAGTGCGGTGGGGGCTCTGATTTGATTGCAGACCCCATCATATAACTTAGAACATCCAATTTGGAAAGCTGTTGTAATGTGCATCCAAGATGTGCTAGAGCTGTTAGCCAGTTAGTTGTAGAACGTCAGTACCATCGGTCAGTGTCATGGCGCATGAGCTGATTGTTTTTCAACTGGTGGTGTTAGTGGACATTATAGCATAACTTGTAGCTCCTTGGTCCATTTTCTTTCCTATAAATTTATCCTTGGCTCTCCACCTCTCGTTTTCTTTTTCATTTTGTTTTCCCACTCTCACACACACATGGTCACAGTCAATTCTGCCGTCGTAAATCCAATTCGGGACGGATACGATAATAATAATAATAAGTAACGCAATAAATAGAGAAAGCTGCGCACTCAGTACAAACACCATTAGCAAAACTTGTTTCCATGTAAAAAAAAGCTTGTTCCTTGAACTTTTTCGTGGCCATCTCATCAGAAGGATTACTGGCAAATCAAAACTAATTCAAAACTCAATCTGCGGACAGCATGCTGTTTCGTTCTTTTTGAACTCATCAGCGCAGCACAGAGGAAATGAGGCCGAACCTGATATATATATGCACAATGCAAGTAATAATTTAGACCCTATCTAGCGCGATTAATGAGAGCTGAAAGAATATTACACCAATCAACGACATCAGGTGACAACAGATGAGATAAATTCACCACTGGAAAGTAACCATCTTGTATCAAACGTTTTCTTTCCTTTCTCTTCAGGATAGTACAGGGAATGTTGGAAATTTGGAAAAACACATAACTATATACAAAAGAAAGAAGAAGTAAACACTTCAACATAGGCGATAAAATGATTAAAGTGTTAAAAACTCAAAAACGAAAGCTGCAAGTTTAGACAAACACGTTGAACACATCAGGGAACACTTGTCACACTTTCCCGAGGTGTGACACAAAACAACTGCAACGATAACACATTCTCCTTCTGTAAACATAGTTCTGGATCTAGTTTATGAATATACAGAGCTTCTAACACAGCAAGATGTAACTTAGACCTTCCACGAGTTAAAATCGAAAAGATATCATCACTATTCAACACACGACAAATAGCGCTGCCCGACAAATGACGCTTGATGGACGATATCCGATCACTCAGCTCTGTCACCTTCGACGTTTGCCGTTGTTCTCTTCTTTTGGGGTTGTTTGTTTGGTTGCTCCGGTTGACACCGGCAACGTCCGTTGAATTCATGGTGATTTTTTTTTTTTTTGGTGTCACACCTCGTGAAAGTGTGACACGTGTTCCCTGATGTGTTTAACGTGATAGAAGGAAGTGTCTACTGAATTGTGTGGATTTGCGTTGTTGCATGCGAAGGTACTGATTACGAAAATGTTTTTTCACAGCCTCCAAACTACTGTTTGAAAAGTAATAACAATAATAATAAAGAGTCAGCGTGTAGAAAGCAATTTGATGAGTGCAATAAAGAGTATAATAGATGCAGACATGGCCAGACAACAACGAGTTAATGGGATTTTAAAGGATTTTTTTGGTATACATTACCCTCCGTTCCGATAAAATTCACTGAATAGCAGAACACGAAAATCGATTTTGAATAATAGAAATCTTTTAAAATTCTGTTAACTCGTTGTCTGGCCATGTCTGCATTTATTATACTCTTTATTGCATTCATAATAATAATAAAAACAAAAATTCCACTCGGATGGTGAGCCAATTAAATTATGGTGGAAAAGGAGAAGGACAAAATGTCAGGTCGCCGAATGTCTCAGTACTCCTTGTCAGTTTTGTGCCATTTTGTCGCACTCGCTGGTGTTTGTAGGGTTTTTCATGTAATGAAGTGGCTGCAGTGGCGCCTCAATACATATTTTTTACCTTGAGAAGTGAATGATGTAAAGGATTAAAGGGAGAGGCCGTTTTCTGGTTAATATTCACTGCTTACAGCAGATCCTATGTCTAATTTCGAACTCGATAGGGGATGCCTAATTGGCTGGACTTTATACAGGGAGTGTTGTCCACATAAGACTCTTTAATCTTTATAGTTGATTTCAAAGTTTGGACTCCGTACAGTTGATTTTGGACCAATGGACTCTATATAGGGGTGAAGCCAATTGGCTGGACTCTATACATGGAGTGATGTCCATCTCAACTTTGAGCTCACAGTTGATTCCAAGTTTGGACTCTGTACAGTGGATTTTGGACCAATGGACTCTATATAGGGGTTGGACATCATATAGGGGCTGGACGCTCTACTGAGTCCAACATATAAGATCTGGTTACATTGGTGGACAGTTAGTCATAACTCTTAACATTTAGTCTTTCTCCTTTTTCACCATAAAATAATAATCTCCATTCGAGTTCATTTAACTTCATGTGCGAAAAAACAAGGATTGCCAGTGGAAATTGCTTCCCAATTTTCAGGGTACATCTCGCTTTGGCCCTGGCAGGAGTGTAGACAGCTTTTGCCACTTTCTCCGAATTTGGCCTGGGTTTAGTTTTGGACTGGAGAGTGATGGCAATGCCCCTTCTCCGGTTTTTCTGCTTCTATCCATCATTATAATTTTAGATAAAGTAGATTAAATCCGCACAGATCTTCATAATGCATTTCCTAATAAGATTCTGTGTTTATACTCATAATGTTCTATTACTTCTTCCGTGTAGTTCCTCTGACGGGGAAGCAATTCTATTCTGTACAATTTCTGTGTGCAGCTGTATGTTCCCTGCCAGCAATTAACTATAGCAACACTCTGAGTGTGGTACCCCTCAACCTTACTGCTGATGGCAAGGCTTTAGGCTTTGAGATGACCTGTAAAACAGGGTA